GGAGCCCGATGTGGGGCTCGATCCCAGGACCCTGGGATCATGACCTGAGCCGAAGGCAGACACTTAACTACTGAGCCACCCAGGCACCCCTCAATAAAACTTTATTAACAAAAACAGGCAGTGGGCCACATTTAGCCTGTGGGCCAAAGTTTGCCATCTGTTGCTATAAAGTAGGATTTGCAGTTTACTGATGACCTTGTCAAGAGCAGTTCTTCTGGAGTGGTGGGGTAGAAGCCATAGTACAATTATTGAGGAATAAGAGATAGGGAGTAACAAGCTTTTCCAAAGCTCTATTGTAAGTGGGGAAAAGGTAGGCCTTAAAAGTCATTACCAGGTTGAGAGTGGGTTTCCAGTCTTTCAAGAAAATTAGCACTCTCATGGGGGAAGATGGCAATGTTGTTTGGAAATATTTGTAAAGCTGTTTCCTCCATCAGCCTACATTCAAGGTTCTTGCGAGCTGTTGCCAGAGCTTTGACTTGTGCAGGCTTCGTGAATATTTATTAGGAAGAATTTAAATCAGCCATTTTGCTACAGAATTGAAACTCGGTGAAACCACTGAAAGGCCAATTTTGCCAAATCTGCTGCACAGGGAGAGGATTATTTCTTAGGCTGACATTGCAGCTTCTTTTATACTTGTATTTACTTTTTATTTATTATTTTTTTTATTTTTTGAGAGTGAGCAAGAGAGAGAGAAAGAGTGTGTGTGCGAGTGGGGAGAGGGGCCGAGGGAGAGGGAGAGAATCTTAAGTAGACTCTGTGCTGAGTGTGGACTCCAAGGCGGGCCTCGGATTTCAAGACCCTGAGATCATGACCTGAGACAAAATCAAGAGTCGGATTCTTAACCGACTGAGCCACCCAGGCACCTTAGTTCTTTTATACTTTTATAACAAGGGCATTGTCAGTCAATAAATAAGCAAATATCTCCTGCTTTGAGGGTGGCAGGAAAGTGATCATTCTGAGGTTTTCAGCAGCTAGGGGCCTACAAGGGCCAGGTGTGACCCTTCAGTTGAAGAGGCTCACAGCTTTGGAGGCACAAAAGTTCCACCTGACTGTATTAAGAAGCACACATCTGAAGGAAGAGGCAGGAGGAAAGTCTTCATGTTGGGCTCCTTATAGTTCTTTCTCTGAGCTAAGCGCTGGGCATGAATTCATGTAGATTCATTGTCTACCTTGCCACCAAGCCTGCAGGCCCCCTGAGGGCAGGAGCCAAGTTTGCTCCTGCATCATCTGTGACGTTACAAGGACAATGCCTGTCAAAGAGCTTGGGCATCTTGCCTGTTCAAATGAGTTTGTGAACCCTCGGTTTTGAGGATGCTAAGGAAGTGGCGGTAGTTTTGGGACAATGACAGACCCTCCATAATACCTCCCTCCATCCTCTCCTGACAACAATGACAAAAGGCCTCCCACGAAGCCTTTTGAGAAAGCCCAAAAGTGTGCCTTGTGTCTTCACTGAATATGAATGTCTTGTCTACGACTCCTAGTCTTAGATGTGCGGGACGTCTCCTAGCACCTCATTCTTTGGCTTTCAGTTCTAGAGGCAAGTTTCATTAATTCTCCATGCCGCTCTTCACTCTTCCAAGTCCAGAGTGATAGGGGTGAAACCGCCAGTCTCTCCAGTGGCCCCGGATTCAAAAGAGGTTTCCTGTTGGGATGCCAAGTTCTGTGTGTGCCCACAACTGAATGCAGATATATTGCTGCTGAGTGTCCTCCCTGCCAAGTGATCTGGTAATAAACTGGTGCCCCAAAGCCCAGTCCAACGGGGTGAGGATAAGAGGGGAGGGGTAGGGCCTGGAGCAGCTGACTAGCTGGCTCTGACTGATAGGAGGTTTTGGTGATATAACCGGCTCGTGCCCTTCTGAGACAGCATGTTACTCTATCTTCTGCCTCCTGGAGTCTGCATTTTTTTAAAAGATTTTATTTATTTATTTATTTATTTATTTATTTATTTATTTATTTCCATATTGTCTGTGGCTGCTTTCACCCTATAATGGCAGAGAGAGCATGAGAGCATGAGTGGGGTGAGGGACAGAGGGAGAAGCAGACTCCCCGCTGAGCAGGGAGCCCGACAAGGGGCTCAATCCCAGGACCCTGAGATCATGACCTGAGCCGAAGGCAGACGCTTCACTGACTGAGCCACCCAGGTGTCCCGCAGGACTCTGCATTCTGAGGAATAATGGTTCTGCTTCTTGCTTCTCAATGTGTTCTCCTCCTCTAGGTTCATCTCCCCAAGTCACAGTCAACCCTCTCTCCCCACCCAATATTAGGCAGATGATTTACAATTCTTGCCTGAGCCTACCAAGGTTTCCTTGAGTATATTTGCCCTTCCCATTGGAAGATTTTATGATGCGATTGGATATGAATCTTGACAGGCAAGGAAATCAATGCAAGGACCAAGGGGCATTTTCCTTTGGTGCGGAGGTGGGGGCGCGTGTAGGATTTAAAGCTCAAGAATTTTTTGCAGACCTGGTTGGCAAGTCTGACCTGATGTGTAAGCAAGAGATACAGTTACCTGCAGTCTGATTTGAGAAAGACTACTTGTATTCCTTTCGCTTCTCCCTCCCACCAAGGAGAAAAAAAAAAAAAAAAAAAAAACCAAACAAAAACCCAAACCCCACCTGAACCCAAATTGCGCTCTATCATCCTCTGCCATAGCACCTAAGAGTGGTTTTTCCTTCGGGGTAAGCAATTGAAAGTTCCTGTTAAAATAGAAATCTATTATTTCGAAAGATCCGGGGGGCATCATTTGGTACTTGAGCTGATTTTTATCAGCCCCCCCCCCCCAGGGAACCACTACTCCAATCTGGTCCCTGAATCTGCTCCCTAGGGACTCAGTTCTCTGCTGGTGAGACTGCTGTGGGTGTCCTAACCGAAGACAAGGAAAGCAGCTGAAGGGTCATAAAGCACGATGGTTGGCCAGCCCGTTGCCATTTCCGAGGACCGTGAAGATGGGAGGCCTCCCGACCAAATTAACCTCAGTGTGTTTACATCAGCCTATACTTGAGAATCTTCTGAGAGCTTTCCTTTCCCACTCTGAGTTTTCTGTCTCCAAGGCCTCGTGCTCCCTGTTCCAAACTCCACGACCCCCAATAGCTTCCTTCCTTTCTCACTCCAGCATCTCAGCTGCCCTTTTCTTCTTTCCTGGCTCAGCAGCAAATGATCCCTTCCTTCCCTCCTATCATTATCCCCTGTTTTCTATGGGGATCAGAATATAAAACTGGTCTATTCATAAACACTTGCCATATGTATTGGATAAAACTGTATTCCAGGGGCGCCTGGGTGGCTCAGTTGTTAAGCATCTGCCTTCGGCTCAGGTCATGATCCCGGGGTCCTGGGATCGAGCCCCACATCGGGCTCCCTGCTCTGCGGCAGGCCTGCTTCTCCCTCTTCTACTCCCCCTGCTTGTGTTCCCTCTCTCGCTGTGTCTCTCTCTGTCAAATAAATAAATAAAATCTTAAAAAAAAAACTGTATTCCATATTCAGAATCTACAAATCAGACTAGATCTACGGCCTTTCATTTCTCTCGCAGAACTGTTGTAAAATCAGTACAGTCCTGAGTTCATTACTTCTCTCTGCACTCTAGATCAGTGACCCTGGGTGGAATGAAGGTTCTTTTCCAATGGAATGTGAAGTTACTCTCAGGAATTCGGACAGCAGTACAAAACGTAGCCAGTTACCTAAGAGCACCAGGACACATAATTTGTGATGATGTGGGCAAGCAATTGGAAATGTTATTGAAGAACATCAATCCTTAGTTTGGGCACTTTGCTGGGAGGTCAGATCTGGAGAAGGGAGGATGCGAGGCCAAGGTTAGGGTCAAAGCCTCTGAGGAGAGGGTCCCAAAAGGTGGAGGAGACAAAGAATGGGAATGGAAGGCCCTGAGGTCAAACTTTCCCTATCAATGAAGTCCTGCTTCTTGCTGCTTGTAGACACCATCTCGCTCTAGGTGATCCCCACAATCCCAACCTAAGTTCTGGGTGGCACACTGCTATTTAGGTTAAGGGCTCTGAGCCTGACTATGTGTGGCTGCAGTTGAGTGTCGGGCAGGGGTGGCGTCATCCTTTAGGAGAATCACCGGCAAGGTGACTGTGACATCGTTGGCAAAGCTTCCGGTGGGAAGTAAATTAGTGAACAATAACGTCTTAGCACCTGCATCCGAGTAAATTTTAAACAGTCAAAGCACAGACATGAATGCTTTCTTTACAATTTTATTTACAAAATGTATTAAAACTTTGTACAATACCTCATGGCAATGAGGCTCCGTAATTTATGCCCACACATGCAATTTACGCTTTTATGGCCATTAGTTTGCTTGGCAATTTTTCTGTTCACTGAAGTACAGCTTTAACAACGAAAAGAAAAGAATCGGAAAAAAAAATCCTCAAGTGACTACCGCCAAACTCCCATAGCTTGAAGTTAGTAGCAGAGATTTGAAGCAATCAATGTTTTTTTTTTTAAACATGCAAGTTTTTAAAAAATAACAAACCAATTTACCCGCCTCTTCATTCCCAGTGAAGTTTCCTCTGAAAAACTGATTTGAGTCAATAAACATACATTTCTCTTTATACAGTGCCTCTGAAAACATTTGTGTGTAGGTTGGTTGATTCGTTTTATACAACTTCACATTTGCACGGTGTCAGCTTCCTGCTCTGGACATCATAGCATTCAGAAGTTGAAAGTCACAGGTTCATGAAAACAAAACAGAACAAAAACACAACAGCTTTCTTTTTGTTTGTTCAATACCATTTAAAATTTGACAGGTGAGTTATTCGCTGATGACACAATTTTTGGAATGAAAGTTTATATTACACTTTTCTGGAAACGTTTCATTGGAACGAGACTTCTTCCTTCCTTTTCTGAAGACAAGAGCAAATGGGCAGTGAGTCGGCTAAGCATCTAAAGGTCACACTTGGGAAATGAATTCGAGCTCCTAGTTTTTACAGTCTGGAAACTTCCCAATGCACGTCACTGATGAGAGCAAACTACTGAACTACAGGAAGCATACGTCATTATATAGGAGGTAATTAGTGAGCGGAGACTATTTCCTCTGACTGTTCCGATAATGCCAACGGCAGGTGCGCAATTAGTTACTTGATAGCCCGTGGAGCAGTGGAGCGTTCTTCTGAGAGAGACAGTGGAGAGATGGCTCCGAGCAAGGACCTAGGAGTGATGCTGAGGCCCTGGGTTTAGCAGTAGGTTTGGGAATGCGTTTTAGTCTTTGCAAACTAGAAAAGGACACATGCAGTCTGACGGAGAGCCACGGGCAGTAACAGGCAACAGCTGGGAAGACAGACCTAGCAAGAGTAAAAGTCGGACTGAGAACTGTGGTCTGAACCCACTGGCCCGCCTTGCGACGCGGTCCTGTCTCCGGGGTGTACACTTGAAAGGCATACTTAGCGGAGAAAGCAGAGCTAAACACAGTGTTGTTTCTGAGAAAGATACTCTAAACATTTGGGAGTGTAGGCAGCATTTCCCTCACCTCAATGCTAAATACTCAGCTGTATTGACTTAAAATGCACACTGAAGCAAGAAAAACAGATCTGTGAGCTGCAATTCCAGGCTTCTTGGAGAGCCCCGGGATCCGTTTTAGGAAAGCACCGAGAGGTTTGCCTGATAGTGCCCCGTCCCTTGCTACACACAAAAGTCAATTTCGAAAGCTCTGTTAATCCCTTCACCGAGTGGGAAGTTATCAAAGCATTTTCACGAAACCATTTTAAGAACACAGAGAAGTCAAGGCTTAGTCCCTTTTCCAAAGTGTTTGAATTTTCTTATGTGTCGCATTTACATTCTAAAGATACACACATTTCAGCAACGTTGAAAGGAAAGAGGGTTCACACAACATCACTACCAACAGGAACTACCAAAAACATCTGGTCAGCAGATCCTAGAAGAAATGCCAGTCTGTCTTCCCAAACACAGGGAGTCAGAGATTTTTTTTTTTTAATCAGGAGGAATTAATTATTTTAGCTGAGATGGGCCTATTTGCTGAACTGGAATTAAAAATTTTTTTGTGCGTGTGTGTGTGTGCTGTGCGCGTGTGCGTGTGTGCGTGTGTGTGTGTGTATTAAAGAACGTGGTGTTTGTATATTGAGCAGTGGTATCACAGAATGGCTTTTGTTGAATTGACTTTTTTTAATAAGATTTTTTTTCACATACTGGAATCTTGCATGTCCATTTTTTTTTGTTGGTTTTATTTTAATTTTTTTTTCAAGCAAAGCAAAAAGATTTCAATGATGGTTTGCATTGTCGTGAGTCTCAGAGTGTTCCATAAGGCACTGAAGGAAAAAAACATCAGTTTTTCCTATTGAAAGGTCATTGCACCATCAGCAATATTCGTGTCACGCCCGACACCAAGGAAAGTGAAATCTGGCTCAGGATCCTTGAAGCAGCCACGTTTTCGGTGATTCCTCTCATCACATGCCGCCAGTGGGACGGGACCTGCAAAGGCAAGGGGGTAACTTCCATGTGAATGGGCTTTCTCTTAGGGATTTCGATGTTTCTTACGGCTCAGTCTATCTTGGACGAGAACCATGAGTGTTTTCTCAAACTGGCATCGCTGGGGCTGCACCCAGTTTGACTGACTTTAGGCAACAAGTCTGTTTAAATTCTCTCTCCCGATGCAAAAGCTTTGCCATCGGTTAAATTAGGTTCCTTCTCTACTGTGCCTTGTACTAAGGAATATATGGATGTCACGTGAAGTCTAACTCCAGGCATTGATCACTTAGGATGCAGGTAGACTAGGAAGTCTTGATAGCATTTATATAGACATATGCAGAACAACTAACCTGTGGGCTGTATTCTGATTGCAGAACCTGTGGCAGGGGACTGTTTACCTAAGACAGAGGATAAACAGTGTTCTGTGTGGCTTGCTCAATTGAAATCCATTTGACTGCGAGAGAAAATGTGCCGTTCATTGCTGGAAAAGTGACAGCTTGTGTCTCAATACCTACAGCCTTGGTTATTCCAATCTGAAAATAGCACACAGGCTTTAAAGGGGCAGCACATACCAGAAAGAAGTCAGAACGGTGGTACCCAGGCTTGGCATCCATGGGGTCTTTGCTTGGATGTTAGAGGCCTGATTGGGATGCTGATGCTGCCCCCACTGTAGGAGGGATTAACTTGGGCAGGGCATTCATTTGCCCCTGACTCTGAAGCCCGCAGGGCACTTTCCTGATTCTTCTTCAAGCTCATACCCCTCTCCTCCATCCTTTCCCTCTATACCAAGGGAACCCTTGTTTTTCCCCTGAGCCGACAATTTCCCCAGCAAGAATGTTTATGCATGGGCTGCAGAAGGAAAATTGATCATTTTGAAAATGGGCCACACGGACAAAGTTAACATTTTGTGGGAAGACAAAATGGAACCGTCTTAGGGGAAAAATGGAAATCGTTTCCCTTAACTTCAGGCATCTTGAGGTCTTGAAAATGAGAAGCATTTCAAAAATATTGTTGAAGAAACCAAAGAAGCTAGAAGTAGCTCTTGACGGCAATGGGGAAATTGGGAAGAGTCTCTTAAGACAATTAGCAGAGCCAGCTCTAGGGTGCAGGGAATCTGGAACACTCGGCGGCCAGTCACCTGCCGAGGCATGCTTGGGGGCCACCCTTCCAGGAGTTGGTCTTTATTAACCAGGTTTCACCTGGATCATATTTTTGCAGGTGATTTGCCCTGGAGTCAGTTTTCCTGAAGAATTAATGGTACCCCAAACTCTTAAGGTGGGCTCTGATAACTAGCAATAAAAGTAAAATCTCAGGGTGCCTCTTGATCTCTGTGCCCCTGCATCGGCCGTGACAGATCTAGGCCAATTCAGAGAACTGGAAGCTTAATAACTAGGTAACAAATGAGAAGTCATTAGGAGATCTTCCAGAACTTTGTGGGAATTAAAAGATGAATGGATAAAGGGCTCACCCTTCACTTAACCAACATTACGTGACCAAACTGGCTGAGAACAGCAGACAGGTTTCTGTTTCCTGCTCAGCTTGCTGTGTGCCTCTTGGACTGACACATGGAAGGATTTTTCTGGCATCCTCTGAGGCTTTTCCTTCTTGTGTGGAGACTTCACATAGACTCAGAGGACAGATTTGTTTGCTGAGGCTTTCCCCAGCTTTTTTTTTCATCCTAGGATGGTTGCCAAGGTGCTAGCTAACTGGGCCCTAACAACATTGGCATTGATGTCTATTAAAATGTGATTTTTGCCTCTTTTAGCCTGCATTTTGCCTCACAAAGTGGATCAACCAAGATGACTAAAGGGAAGCCAGGGAGACAGATGTGGCAATCTCGTTTCTGGGTTTCCATTTGAGGACTGCAACATTCTGCCCAGAGGCTTGCCGACCCCAGCTTTTTCTTTCTTTCCCTTCCTTTTTCTCTCTTCCTCTTTCTGTCCTTCCCCCTCTGCCCTTCCCTCCCTCTTTCCTTTCCTTCCTTAAGTTACATGCCCTGAGATCATTTTCTCTAGAATCTTACTACTCCCTGGACCAGCAGCAGCAACATGGCCTGGGAGATTGTGAGAAATGGAGACTCTCAGGTAGCATCGCAGACCTGCTCAACCTGAACCTGCGTTTTCATAAGTTCCCCACGTGATTCACGACGTACACTGACGTTTAAGAAGCACTGCTCTGGGCTTTAACAAGAGACTGAGGCTGTGGTAGTCGAGGAGTAGAGACTATAGCTTCCTGGATGGAATGGCTGATAATAAAGAGGGTCTGGGGGCTGTGTGACCCCAAGTCCTGATGCTTGTCTCAGAAAGATTCTTTTTGGGGAAAGCAGGAGATACTGACTATACAACCTCACGTGCAATGTGTAAGAAGGGAGGCACGTGCCTTTTTTGGTAAACAAGTGGGACACAGACTTAGGATCTGCTTTCCATTTGACGGGATCCCGTTGGGATTTCAAGGTTCCTGGAGGCCACCAGGCCATGGGTGGTTAGAGGCTGAATGGTTTAGCAAAGGGAATCCAGCTATGGGAGGAAGGAGGACTGGGTCCTAGTCCTAGAATGGCCACTACCTAGTTGTGTTGCCTTGAGCAAGTCACTCGGCGTGACTGGGTCTTAGTTACCTGAAAGGGAAAACACTTCGTGACCCATTGCCTCAAACGAGGCAATAGATGTGAGAGCACTTGGAAAACTGTTATGCCGATTTCAGATGTATTCTTTCTTTGGATGCCAGTATTTCGGAATTTGGGATATAATTAAGGTAAGCTGAAATCACCCATGTTCTACTCTCTGAAAAAGCAAATCATGTGCCCCGAATTGTAATGGGCGTATATAACTTACTCAAGAGTAAAATATTGTAAGCACACTGGAACATGAAACGCTTGCAATGCAAACAATGCTAATTACAGATGGATCTATGTATTGTCCATTCAGCAATGCAATGGGAACACTCAGCGGGTGGGTTAGTTCATGTTGCAGCAGAGGGTTGCGGTCTGCAGTAGGAGAGAACAACCAGCAACTTCACCAAACAAGATAATGCTTTCCATGGTGAAGACACATGATTTATGTGCATGAAGTATTATTTAAAAGGGGGCCGAATTTCGTTCCACAATGTGAAATACAAGGAGATCAAAATGCAAATACTGCATTTGTAGAAACTCGAGAGCATTCAAGGAATTCGTATTGATGTTGACTCATGAGGTAAAGCACCTCCCACCTAGAATGGGGGCTGTGAAGCTGCTAATTGTTCTGTTCCCCTTCAGATAGGTGTGTTAGTGATGACAGATGCACTTGAAGGTGACAAGACTATATTCTCTTAAACACTTCCAGAATGGACAGATTAGCCCACTTTAAGCTTGCCTTTGAACACATCTGAGCTACTGGTTGGCGTAGGGGTGGGGGTTTGGCTGTAGCTGCCGGAGTCAAGGTGGCATTAGTCAGGTTCATCTAAATATGGATTTGGGGCAGCCAACAGCAGGGAGCCTAGACTGTTCTTTGGGAGACACTTACCTGAATATCAGTTCCAAGAAAGGGACAACAAAGGAACTCAAAGATTAAAGAAATGGTCTCAGGCTTAGGCTTAAGAGAACCACCGTGCTCTTACAGAAGCACTGCATTTGTCAAGACGTCAGTGCCCCACTCCTATTCCTCACTCTACCATCAGTCCGAGGGCCACTGCTTTCTCTAGAACTGCACTGTCCAATATGGCAGCCACATGCCACCACTGAACACTCGACAGGTGGCTAGTACGAGTTGAGATGTAGCAGAAGTATAAAATACACCCCAGATTTCTAAGACGTAGCATGAAGAGAATAACGTAAACTATCTCATTCACTTTTGATATTGAGAACATGTTGAGATGAGATCTTGGATATGTTAAGGTAAAGAAAATGTAGCATTAAATTAATTTCACTTGTGTTACTTTTAAAAAGTGTGGTGAGTAGAGCACTTCAGATCATACATGGGGTTCACATATGTGGTTCACAAACATTCCCATTGAACAGTGCTACTCTAGAGAATTTCTTCTCCTTTTGGGTCACACACCACAGTACGATTCTGATGGCGCTATTAGAAAAGCAGCACTGCCTGACAAGAAAGTGCAACCATTGTTCTCAAAGAATCAAATGGTTGCAAAGAACAGACAATACTTGAAACAACAAACTGAAGTGAAAAAACAAAGAGAGAGAGAGAGAGAAAAAGAGAGAGAGATTAACATATAGTAAGGTAAGGCTGATTAGTTTACTAGACCTTGACCGTACCCCTAGATCTTAACACTCTCTGTTCCATACACGTTGTAGCCTTCTCTGTATGTAGCATAATTTTGAGTGTTGGTGGCAGGAGCAGGCTTAAAGTTTTGGGTGTTCTTTGTGAGTTTCATGCGTTTGGACTCTGCCCGTGATTTGTAACAGAATTCTATCAAGGCCACCATCATGGCCAGCCCCAGACCTCCGACAAGTATATAGAAAACGCCTGCCACGTTGCTCAGGCTCAGAGCGCTGGTCTTGTCCTAAGAGAAATGAACAACGCGATTAGTTCTTGGGGAAAACACAAGCAATGGGACATCACAATACATGACAACTATATAGGATAGTTCTAAGTTGCAAAATAACTAAACATTGATGTAAGTAAGTGTTATGAGTCGACTCTGGCAACTGGCTGATGTTTCACAATGGCCCGCAAGATGGTAGATTGTGCTTCTGTTGACAGTTGTGGTCCTCACCTAGCTGTTCATTTACTTTGACTCCTTAATTCCTTTGGTACCTCAAAATGGTATCAATGACTAAATAAAACAGCGCTTGGCCACGGGAGCAGAAGTGTAAACACAAGCCCAATTCATTCCTCTGCCGGCCGCAAAGTGCCATTTGCCAGAGTTGAGCTGTGCCATAATCTCTAGAAATGTAACACTCTTTTCATTTGGGAACTTGAAGCACTCTTTCCCCTCTCTGGCCCGCAACGCCCCTTTCTCCCTCATTCTCCCTGTGACAAACTTGTCAACAACTTGTCTTTAAGATACCAGGTGAGAATATTAGGGGTTCCTGATATTCTTATCTGGGGAGTTACTTATCGAGGGTTTGTTTAAAAGGGATTAACTCTCCCCTTTCCCCTGGTGGCTGAGAGATTGCTCCCTTCGGGGACTGGTTGCTGAGCTCGCATCCTCAGGGCAGCAAGTCTTCACGCTGCTGGAACAAGGGCCCAGCACAAAGAATTAGCTCCCTTCCATCTTCCTGAGAATTTAAGGAAAACTGTCAGGAGGACCCACTGGGTCCTGAATTGGCTCCATACAAATCAGAAAGCTTTTCTAAGAGGCTGATGATTAAAAAAAAAAAAAAAAAAATCCAGCTCATTTTTAGCTTTACTCCAGGGAATGTAGTGAATAATTACAAAAAAAAAAAAAAATTACTATGCTTCTCTGTTTTCTATTTAAAATGGGGGGAAAAAATTGAGGAAGCCGGTCAGTGACTTTCAGGTCGAACTGTGCAAATCTGACTATCTGCCTGCATGAAAAAGCAAAAACTGAGCTGCTGAACAATGGAAAGAAAAAAGTTGGTGCCTTGAGCCCTACCTGGAGGTAGGACACACCAAGGGCCCGGAGCCTTTCTTTGAAAAAAATAAAATAAAATAGCATTTTGTAGTCTTTTTAGAGGGAATGTAACCATTTTGCTGCTGAATGCCATTGTATGGAATACCCAAACTGTCACATCAGTGAATTGGATATCGTATTGACATGGTAACACAGTGAGCAGATAATGGCCAGAGCTGACACGCAACACTGTGGCTCAGCTAGCTGAGGATTAAATGGAGAGATGATACGGCCACGTCCTGATTCTATTGTTATAGGAACCAGCACTATACTTGTTTACTTTAATAAGAAGGCCAATTGGAATTGAAGTGCATGGTCGGGGAGGGGCTATGTGTGAGCCTCATGTCTACAACAACCTCTCAAATGGTCACTCTTCTAGGGTGAATGACAGGTAACTAGAGAAGTGGGAATGTCTGTCACTTATGAAACAATGGGTCATTTCCTTCAGGAGGCTGGCCAGGCTTTCTGCAAGGAATGCTCCACGGTCCACTAGGAAATGGACCAGTTCCAGCAACCGTCCCTCTGCCCTGAGATTGCTCCACGTATGTGGTATTTGACGGGGGAAAAGGACATAACCTTGGACATAATCCGCGTTAGGTCGCAGCAACAAGAACAGTTTCCATTTCCACGTATTTAAGTTTCACAGAATTCCCTGCCATGGGATGTGGAAAACCAGTAGCAAAATGGTTCACTGCGCAGGGGAAATGAGTGGCATTTCATGAAATGAATTAACTGATACCACAATATTAGTTCAAAAAAAGGCAAGGCAAAAATTGAAACTAAAAAGAACTTTCTTAGGGGAGCAAAGGGGGCAGGAAGGAGGCGGGGAAGAGTGTTTCATGCTTATCAATGTGATGTTATCCTGACAATGTATACCCTTAAGGAGCATGCGACTAAATTTCAAAAGTATTACGTACAGAGATTCAAATGACACCTTTGGAAGAGAGAAGTGTGACAGACTTAATGATATTCGAGATCCAAATAGATGCTGAACTCAATACGACAGCAGCTGGGAGGAGGCTAATCACTCTGCTTACAGAGACCAGTCTTTGTTATTTCTTTCTTTGACTGTTTTCACATGGGATCGACATAATGTACAAATAACCAAAGGTATTTACAACTACAAAGTCTCTGACACTGTAAGAGGTTAAGAGAAAGTACTGTCACAACTGGATCTTTTTTTTTTTTGGTTGTGGTTGTTGTTAGGTTTTCTCTTTGAACTTTCAAAATGTGAAATACAGTAAAACCCCCTTATAACACAGCTCAGTCTTTGCACAGCTTTGGAAGTGCGGTGGGCTGGATTGCGTTCCAATGTCAACACTAGCTCGGTCCGCTCAAGGTCAATGGTTGATGCCCTGCAGCATGTCTCCGCCGGCGGGGCGCCCGCCTTGTGCCTTTAGCGCTGGTGTTATAAAGGGGTCCCACTGTGTCGGGGGGGGGTGTGTTGGGAAGGAAAGCCGTTTTGGGGTAGAAAATAAACAGTGGTTCAAAATGTGATTGCTAATCAGTACAAAAAGACCTTCAGCGACTGACCTTACTCCCGGAGTCCTTGGCTCCACATTCCCCCTTATCGTACCACCATTTGTTTTTCAGCTTGTCTAAGATGCCTTGTTCACTGAGTTTCAATACTGCAAGGTTTACAGGCGTTCTTCACGTGGGAAATAACATAAATAACATTATATTATGTTATTTTATGTTATTCAAGCTTCAAACTACTTTAAAACTATAGAAAGCGATAAAGCAGGGGGCCCTGGCCACAGAGTATTTTAGAACACTGCAGGCAACCTGAGCATTACCTTATAAAAAGTTAACACTACAGCAACGCTATATTTACCAGGGCCTGCCCATATCGCTTTGAGTAATCGGCACACACTGTTAAATAATGAGGATAGAAAAACAGGCACTCCTCGGATAGGTTGTGTGTGGTGGGGAGGGGGTCTCCCCTCAAGTGACAATCGTCCGGCGGCAGCTCGTGGTAGCTTTGTGGCGGAGGTGTGTTAGGTTTGATCTAACCGGGTGTCTTGTTGTACTTCCAGACAGAAAGCAAGCTCTATGGAGGAGCGGGGGGGAGGGGTCAGGGACAAGACAAAAGGATGAATCGGAACAGAAGAGAAAGTAGATTCTATGTGCACAACGTGCCTTCTGATTAGTTGTCCTTTATTATACATATCTGTTGCCCAGATGAAACTGATCTCAGAAAGAACTGTCCTACAGACATGTCTTCACTCCACAAACTGAATTCTTACGCACGTCCTGGCCTTAGGATTGAGAGTGGAACGTGGACCTCTGAGTTGTGGCTGAGAGGGGTTTCAACCATGAGAGAACTGGACTCTGGCTTGTTTCTGTTACTGACCGGCTGTCTCTCTGGTGTGGCCGTAGGTCGGCGGTCCACTCAGATAACCAGAGGGTGAACCAGATTGTTTAAAAATGGATTATTAATATGGCATGATCTAAGATGGCAAACTGATTCTGCCACTGTGGGTAGTAGTACTGTAGAGAAGCAGTTTAGGTAAGCTGTTCTTCTAAAAGAAGACTTCCTCAACTGAGAGGCTCCTACAGCTCCAGGAGGCCAGGCCATTGCTCTGTAGCCCTCCGCCTCTTAAAGCATTGGGCCTGCTGTCCGAGCCACTGGGCAGATGCAGGAAACCCTACTGGTCCCCGGTTAAGATTTCTTCTCTTAGAAATTTCTTCAGCTGTAAAATAGGAATAGTGACCTTTACCCTGTCGTCTTTCTAGAACTAATGGATTTTAAGTAAAGTATCTCTCATAACTTTAGATAAAAAATGCATTATATTTAGAGGGTGGCATAATTCTATTACAAGGCAATAAGCTACTGTGGGTTCAGAGTCACATGAACAATATTGTGAATACTAGTGCATGTTCTGCTGAACGCCACCAGTTCACAAGGGGGAAAGCAGACAAATTTCTGTGACTATGAACATGCCATAGAATTTCTTAGCTTATTTGGGATATGTTGGACCCACCAACATATCCGGTCATTGAGAAGACTTCCTGTAGTCCCAGAGATGTGGCCTCTATCGGACCAAGTCCCCGAAGGCTATTTCCTTTCTCTCCCCCTTTGCCTTTGAGAGCAGAGGGACCATCTCATCCTGAGATATTCCGAGAAATGTATCATCATTTAAAAATAATATGCAATTTCAGAGTACTTGAGATTTGGAAAGCTATAAACCTTGAGTGTCAGGGAGGTGACACTTTCTCGGTTGATGCCGGGCTTGGCAGCCGGAATATCTGCATTTTGTATCTCACCAGGAAATTGAGGTCCTTTTATATTTTAAACAAGTTCCTTCAATCAGTGCTCAGAACCTTAGCCTTCTCAAATGCCAACAGGTTTGGCTTGGGATGCAAAGCAACAAAAGATACTCAAAACTTGGAGCCTCTTGAAGATATTATTGGCAGTGAGAGTTAAGTCTTAGACTTTTAATTTCACTTATTTATTTATGTTTAAAGATTTTCTTTTTGAGTAATCTCTATGCCCAACGTGGGGATTGAATTTACAACCCTGAGAGGGAGAGTTGCACGCCCCACTGACTGAGGCAGTGAGGTGCCCCAAGTCTAAGACTTTTAAAGGACAGAAAGGCCATCTATGGCCCCGAGATCAGTGTTGGAACTGCCTTCTCTCCTACTTCCCACTGTTTGGCCCCCTTCTGTTTCTTCTTTCCCCTTACTAGTTTTTGTTTTATCACCAGCTCACCCCCAGTCCTATGCCTTAAGCCAGGCACTGGCCCCCAGGCTCCGAAGGTGGGGGGATGCTTCCCAATGGCACCTGGGTGCCTGATTCCATCAGGAGAACAGCACGAAGTACAAAGCATTTTCTTTCTCCTTTCTGTGCTTCCCCCTTTCTTATTGCACAGGGCGCAGCGTCCTCCCGCTGCTCTCTGACGAAGCCCTTACCGGTCCCTGTCCTCCCTCAAGTTACTATGTTCTTCAGATGACTTCATTCAATTTCCTTAGGACAGTGGCTCTTACTGGATCTCCGGAACAGAGCAGTCTGATTAAAGGCACTCACGCTATGGTCCAAATAGAGATATCTCCCTAGAGAGCCCGGGTTTTAAAGAAGGTTGTCAACCATTAAGTGAGCTACATTGATAACGAGTGTTACATGTTAGTTTAGGGGGATAGTTCTCAAAGTGTGGCCCAAGAACCCCCAGAGGATCCCTGAAACCTTTTCATCAGAGGGTCACCATGATCAAAACTATTTTTCTAATGATACTAAGACCTTCCTTGCCCTTCTCACTCTTATTGCCTCCTGCTGCACAGTGGAGTTTCCTGGAGGCTTCACGACACGTGATCTTGCAACAGATTGAAGGAAAAAGCAGAAATGAGAATCCTATTCTCTTCTACGAAGCCAGATATTAAAGAGATTTGCAAACTCATAGGACAGTGCCACTCCTTACTAATTTTGTTTTGGAAAACTATAGTCAGTTTTCATAAAAACTATGTTATTTATGTTAACATATATTGGGTTTATTATTTTAAAATAAATTAATGAATACATGCTTTTAAAATGCAATTTTAATTTCCAGTATGGTAAATATTAGTAGGTATAACACACATAAAATCTTTTGGGAGTTCCCTATAATTTTTAAGGGGTCCTGGGACAAAGCAAAGTTTGCGGAGCATCAGTTTGGGAGAAGGGAAAGCTTTTCCTGTGCCGGGGCCTATCCTAGGTTGCCACCATCCACTCTTGCCCAAACCCAGGCTCAGTATGTCAGCAGTTTAGAATGCAACTTCTGAGAAATGGCCTGTCCCTGCCCAAGGCCATCCAGTGGCCTCCACAGAAAGGCTGGTAACTGCTCTCCACGTCTGTGGCCTCCGTGGTTACCATGGAGGTTACCTTAGGGCAAAGGTTCTCAATCAGGGGTCCTTTTGTCCTCCAGGGGCTATTCGGCAATGTCTAGAGTCACTTCTCATTGTCACAACTGAGTGGGGCAACACCACGGGCACCTAGTGGATAGCGGCTGGGGATGCTGCTAGACACCCTACCGTGCACAGGACAGCCCCCCACCCCGAAGCCCCCAGGGTCAGCTGGGCCGAGGTTGAGAAACCCTGCCTTAGAGCATCCAGACCTCATCCGGTGCCCCAGGACTTTAGAGAAACCTGACAAATGATATACTTTTAGAAGTTTAGTCTTTGGGGGAAAAAAAATCACAGGGCTTATGAAATCTGGCAGGGAACCAATGTGTGTTTGGGAATTTCTAAATAAAAATGAAGGAGAAAAACAAACATTTCAAGCAACAGCACAGCCAAGGAGCATAAAAGCTGTAATCAGAAATCACAGATAATGCCACTTAACAAGGTTAGGATAGCTGCCAAGAAAAGAAAATGATTTAAGGGCCTAAATCTCCTAGAACTGTTTGTTACTGTGGGGTGGAATACATTCCTGAGATGGCAGAGAAAAACTGCCAGGATTTTCTTTCTTACTGTACCTTACGGGATTGCCCAGCTCAATCCGAACCAACCGCATGTGCTGACACCCTCCCCCAACACACGCACGAACGCACGCACAATTTGAGCTTTTACAGGAAGAGGATTTAGGTGGGCATTTGGTCATTTTAAATGTCACTTTCTCCATGAAGCCATTTTCGCTCCCCACCTCAGTATTTTCTCCCCTCCTTATTATCTGTACCCATGTCTCGTAACTCCCCCTAAACTGTGTGCTTCTCAAGAGCAGGGACCGTGGCTTACATATTGGTATCCCCGCTTAGAATTGTTCTCTCAACAAATGCTTGTTGAATAGAGAACTCTCTTTTAGAGTTTTGCTTTTCAGCCTGGGATCTCACAAAATTATCATACTTCTACTTATTGTTCGAATTTAATGATCACCCTAAGAAGGGAGATTTATGGCCTCTACTTGGTAAGTAAAGAAACCCAAGCACAGATAGTTTAAGCAACCTGCTCAAGCCTACACAGCAAATGATGGCGCAGGCCAGAGGGCAAATGAATATCTGTTCAACTCTGTACAGTGCATTTTCCAATGGAACACACGAAAGGGTGGCAGTCCTTTTTATTTTTGTTCTTTGCGCTTGGATGTTCCTAATGAAGTTTGTCTTTGGGGACCACCATACTCCACATAGCTATCAACCTAGCAAGGGCATATCTGGTGGCTGGGGCCTTTCACTGTGCTGCCGCCATAGGTCTCCAAGGGAAGGCTTCAGAGCAGTTACTGCAGGCCCTTAACTGATACCTCAGAGAATTATAAGTCAGAAATATTTATTGTACTCACCTCAACAGAGAACATAAAGAATTAAACAAACTAGGTCAGATTCCTATCATGGAGATTAGTCAGGCATTGTCCCCTTTGGCGGGCTTGCTGTGAACGTTTTGTTGGGTACAGCCCTCCCAAGACAAAGGCAAGGGTCCAGAGGCTGAGGGGGAGAACAGGAGAGCTTTGTGATGTGTTTTCAGGGAGAACAGGAGAGCTTTGTGATGTATTTTCAGGGAGAACAGGAGAGCTTTGTGATGTATTTTCAGGGGGTCTGGGGAGTGTCCCCCGCTCCAAAAATATTTTCCTCACAGGGACCTGAAATTCCGTCCTGAGAATTGCATACCTTTAAGTGTGCACAACATTCCTTGTTAAAATTCAAAGCTTCTTTGGGAAATGGGACATGGACCAGAGTAACTATTTAC